ACAAGGCGGCCACGTGGTTATTAAAAAAAAAAAAAAAAAAAAAAAAAAAAAAAAAAAAAAAAAAAAAAAAAAAAAAAAAAAAAAAAAGGAGGCTCCGCTTGAGACGTGATCACTTTATACGTCGTCTTAGTGATGCAGGTTCGTTCCTTAGAAACTGGGCCATCCAATCACATCCGTTGCTTCATACAGCGAGTTTTGGCCGCGCGGGGAATGTATGGAACTAGGACGTCCCGCGCAGACCGACGTCGTTAAAACTCTGAAATGCCCCCCCACTCCACCCTCACGCATGTCGTGATTCGCTGTCTTATTATCTGCGGACATGCGGCCTGGTTAACATGCGACCAACGTAGCCTACACCCCACAAGTCACTCTCCTTTTTTTTTCCCTCTCTCCCTCTCCACAGTTGTCACTGCCCATGTGCGCCAAAGTGACTCACACTGCAGCAACTTCTAGCCGCTGTAATCTACCGTACATCCGCGGAGTGAGACGCACAGGGAAATTTAGGTGATTTCACTAAAAACAGGTTACAGTATTCTCGTCATGCAAGGCTCGGGTAACGCATGTATTGTAAGCATAATTAAATAAAAATAACAAAATAGGCAAATAGAACAAAATATAACTTACCTTTTTTTAAACAAAAAATCTTCACCGGTCCAGCGGAGGTTTTAATGATTTACGCCTCGATCAAACTCTTAAAATAACCCGACTTCCTTTAAAAAATATTTTATTTAAAAAATGCAAAAAAAAAAAAAAAAAAAACTAATTGTGTTCTATCTAAGCGCATCGTTGACGATGAAGGTTATTTTATGATAAAAAAAAAAGAAGAAGATAAAAAGAGCTCTGATTCAGATTTCTTTCCAAGTCCCGCATCCGTTTTCCGGTATCTTATAAAATTTCAGCGGGCTGCCCCGGTGATCTGCTCTTATAGACGTCCCGTAGTACTAGTAATGGAGATGGGAGGGGACACTCATTCATTCAGAAGCATCACCTACATGGACCATGTACGTGGACTCTGACGTCATCGAGGCGCCGCAGTCAACAGGAGGACGCTCAGGGTTCCGCGAGAGGGGGGAGGCAAGAGGAAGCAGTGGGGTGGTTTTTTGTGGGGGGGGGGGGGGGTGAGCGAAGGGTTGCTGGCTTTTTATTGGGTGCAGCTATGCTACCCACTACTCCTATTTGTGTTTGTGGAGCACGTTTCAGGGCAGTGGAAATTGCTTTGGAGGTGTAAAGTGCCAGAAAGGAAGAGTGAGCAATTAAGTCTTGCAGGAGATAACTGAAAAAAAAAAAAAAAAAGGTTACCTCTAATTTCCCCTTTTTACTCTGCTAATGAAGCCATTTTTCCTCTGGTCATTATTCGGTGAATCAGTTTGAGTATTCTCAAAGATGATCAATGAATCACTTCCGTTTTTCCGTTGGAATAAACATCCTCGTTTTCTCATTAGTAGCTGTGGAAGTAATTTGTCTTTTCATTTTATGATTTTTGATGAGGCGCTTGGGACGCTAAAACAAGAAAACTGCATAACATTCATGCATGACCTCACTTGAAGGAACTCTCAATTATTCCTTGAAAGGGGATATGAGTAGTAAGTAGTTACATGTACTCAGTTACATTTACTTGCTTAACTTTTTTTGGAGAAAATGTGCTTTAAATAGTTTTATGACACACTACATTTGACTTTAACAGACATGTTTTAAACAAAATGGCATGAGCCACACAAACCTGCATGTTATGTTAAAGTGATGCTTTGTGTTCACAAGCATTTTGTTCTGATGTTTATGCTCTGTTGTCCCGTTTGCAGGTCAAGAGAAAGGACTGTTAACATAACAGTCACTGAAAGAACTTTACTTTGTTCTAACATACACATTACCTCAGTATTGCTGTTCGAACAAACCGCTTAGTGAACACAAGTGGTTTGGAAAAGTGTTTTTTATGTTTAAAATCTCTTATTCTCTAATAATTGTATTTATGTGTAATATATGATTTAGATGACTTTATTTTCTTTTGTTTTACTTTTTAATGAGTAAAAATAAGTTGAGGTATTGCTACTCTTAGTGAGATTCCCAATGGTTAGGTAATGATAAATGAATGTGTAATTATCCATTAATAACAGATTTTGATGTGGAAGTTGACTTCATTTAGCACATAAATAGTGGGCACAAAAGATTCTCCAATAGTTCATAAAGATGAATTAATAGTTAACAAATTATTAACAATAGGTACTGATGTCTGATTTCCCCAAAAATATGTTTTTCCAAGAATGAAACAATAAAAGAACCATTAGTTAATGTTAATGACGACATTAGTTTCTAACTAATGTGTTAAATCACCCAAAACTAGTACATTTTGTTTGGTTTAACGACAGGGGACAAATATTAAGGTAATGGTTAAATAATGCTGATGATTTTAGATCAGGGTTAGAGGAATATGTTTTTAATGGTTAGGTAGGGCTGTATGGTTATTTAATGGTTAAAAATAAATCTTAGTTTAATGGTGACTAGTTCTTTACTTTTTAAAATAGTCAAACATGAACTAAACTTTTCCTAATGACAGGCCACTGAAGTAAATAAGATTCGTAGTTCATCATCAAGTCATAAGTTTATTAATAGTTCCTTATTAATTTCTTTGCACCAAGTCATTTTCGTGACTCTTATTAGTCATTTTTTTAATATCAGTTTTTAAACTTTGCGGGTCATTATAAGCTCTGCTGCTTTCACTTCCCAACTCCAACTTTCATTCTTTAGCTTTGTCACTAACAACTTAAAAAAAAAATGCATGGATTTTTTTTTTTTTTAATTCTGTTCCTGTTTATTGTTGACTTTTAATTCCCTCTGAGTCACACATGAGCAAAAGTAATACAGCTTCTAATAGGAAAGCATCAAGCACTAATTTAGATTGTTCAGCTCGATAGTTTCTAACAATTTTTGTTGTAATAATCATTTCTGTTCTGAGTTACTGTCCGTTCATTTGCTGGTGTTTAATATTGCAGCAGCTGTTTATAAACACGGCTCGTAATTATCAAAAGACAGATGCTTTTTGAAAGATGCAAGACGGCGTTTATGAGGTAAATATTCGTCATCCGTTAAAATTATGCAAAAAAAAAAAAAATCTAAACCACATATGGCTGTTCTGTGGCCGTTTCTCTACCCTCACTTACGTCTCGCTGTCTTATAGGTGGTTTTCTTTCTTAGGCTGTCGATGGATGTTTTTTTTTTTTATATATGTGTGAGTGTACAGCCGAGAAAACTGCAGTTAACAGAAGAGGGAGGGAGTGACGGTGATGATTCACTAGTTTTAGTGTAAGCAGGAAAGTGACGAGGGGGAGGTGAATGTCTCCAGACTGGAGAACGGGTTCCATAGCTCCTGCCGCCACGTTGATGCTGAACGACGGAGAGACGCTGTGGGACACAACGGAGTCATGGGGTTCAGACTTCAGCAGAAAAGAAAGACAATTCTTTCTAGGGCTACGAATTTGTGTTTAGTCTAAATAAGTTTATGAAATATTTGATTCTGAGAGGGAGTAAAGTTCAAAAGTGACACAGATTCACAGCAGATATTCTGACGTTTATTCATTTCTGTGTTTTTAACTGAAGGTGACATTTCTGTTTTTCTCAAAAAAAAAAAAAAAAAGCTTCTTTCTTTATCCTCCTTATTTCAGACCTGGTAGGCGTAACTTCCTGTGGACCTTAGTGAATGTGAAATGCGATGACGTGTACTGAAGAGGTTTTTTCCTCTCCAGTGAATTTGACTTAAGATTTCGACTAAATCTAAATTGCTTCTTTTTCGTGTCGTTATCGTTAATGCTTCAGAAATTAGGAAATAAGTTTCTGAACTTTGCCTCTGACAGCTGGTGTGAACAATGTCGTTTATCGTCTCTCGGTTTCCTCAGCCAGACCACAGCTCTTTATTTACTCTGCAGACCTGTTAACAATCGCATGATAAATGAAAACAAACTCAATCATTTCCCGTTTGCATTATCGTTCTTTTTCTCTTTCAATCAAAACCTGGAATGACAGATGTCTTCAGTCTAGTGCTTTGGTTAACAGAGACTTCATAATTCATTCTATGTATTGTTTCGTTTATTTATTTTGGATATTTAAAATGTCTTCCAGTTCCAGTTGTTAAATGCTCATTAGAGTTTAAAGCTTATTGATCTCTGAGGATGTGTTCTTCCATTATGTTCCTTGAAAATGGTCTCAAAACCACGTTATCATTTATCGCAATAACTTCTGGGACAATGTATCATCCAGCAAAGTATCCAGACTAGGCCTGTAGTATTTTCAGAATAGATCTAAGTAGCAAATATATTAACACAAATTCAACAAAAGAAAAAACTTTAGAAGTAGGGATGCTTGAATACTTTCAAGCCAAGTATTAGTATCAATAATCGTACAGACTTTTAAATCTGTGGCTTGTTGACTCGTGGAACCGCTTCACAGGCTAAATACACCACATTGTTCACGTAACAAATGTAACTTTTGTTAAAGATGCTGTCACAATGTTTCTTATCTTGCCGTCTATCCCGTCATTCATATTTAGTGAAACATCAAGTCCTGTTGTGTAAACTCAAACCAAAAGCAGTGGAATAATTGTTAGCTGACTAATTCGGAAAACAAGTTGGAATACTCTCCTCTTGACACAACTCTTAGGTATTTGACAATGTAAGATGAGTGAATCGTCACCAGTGCAGACAGAACGTCTGAGTAGCGTAGCATATAAGGAAAAATCCTGCATTCAATCACTTTTCTAAAATAATGACCTAAGTCACTTTTTGCCAAACATGATTTATTTTTTTCAGCTTAAATAATCTTCTGGTAATAAAGAGGTGTTTTTTGTTTGTTTGTTTGTTTGTTTTTTGCCAAAAGTGATTTTTGGATATAACATTCATAGCATTTTAAATTGTTGACACTTAGATTCTATGCTATCAGATATGTAGAAAGACGGTCTGTTTTTGTGTTGTCATGAAATTATCTTGATAATTTGTATTTGCATTATTGTTTCTTTTTCTTTCTTTCAAAGACTGGATAAAGTAAGGCTTCAGTCTGGTTCATTGGTCTCAACCAGCTCCTTTTTCAGAGCAGTTTTCCATAGCTTTGTATATGTACCAGGCATATTCTGTATTCCTAAAATTAATCATATTGTTTTAAATTGAATAAGTAACGAGGCAAAAATCCCTGATTGGGATTAAACAATCACTTTGGTTTTCAAAAATTTTCTCTGAGAATTTTCAAATTTTTTGTTTGACTGCTTTCAAATTATGACTGAACCGTTACAAAAATGTCTTAAAAAGAATTAGCATTCTGTGGAATTTATTTAATCTGATCTAGTAGCACGATTAGCATAGTTGCAGGGATTCCTGCACTCTGTCTGTGGCTGAAAAACACACAGCTGCCCGTGATTTGATGGTTTCCACAAACGCATAAGCCAGGCATTAATTAGTCATTGTGAAACGGTAGCTTCGATCAGCGCTCCTGCTCACTCCAACGCCCCGACCGGCCGTCAGCGCTCCCACCAGGGTGTCATGAATTAAGAATGAAATAGCAATACGTCACTGGGAGTTCAATCCTCAGCGCACCTCATGTTCTTACGCTTGTTTCACCCCATCCACCTTCAGCATCCCCCCACCCCACATCACCACCCGTTTTCACCCCCAGGCTGTTTTTCCACAACTCTTTGCTCCAGTATCACTATTTCTTCATGTACAGTGGAATCATCTCCAGCCGCTCCAGCCTCGGCCCGACTTACATTCCTGAAACCAGAAAATATGCATTTGCCCGACAGAGGAAAACACACACACAAAAAAAAAAAGAAAAAAGAAAGAGAAATGGAGTTGAAAGAGGCTTTAGGGAGCAATGTTTATGTCCAGGAAACTTATTTTACAAAACATTTGATGTATAAATCCAGATTCATCTTTGCACCCCTGACTTTTCATGTCTTCTCATTCTGTTGTGTGATGGTTACACAAGAACATGGGAAGAGAGAAGAAACACCCCATAGGGTTATGTTTCACCTTTCCCTCTTTTACACACACAAACACACACACACACACACACACACACACACA